GGGTAGTTGTACAGAAGTTGATCTACCAATCGGCTTCTGTACAACCACCCTGTCAGATTTTCACCACTCAATCAGCTAATGCTGCCAGTGCCGATCAGTGTATTCTGACACCCAGGAAGTTTACCCCGCTGAAAGAATACAAAGTGCAAAGGGAGGATTCCCCCCATCCACTTCAATTGTGCGGATGGGGGAATCAAATACGTGTTTTTTTTTTTTTTAACCCAATGGCTGAATGAAAAAACTTGATTCATGTATGAGCTGCCTTATTCTAACTGGAAAAAGACATTTAAACTGTTCCTAAACCCACAACAGTAGAATCAGTCTACAATAACCGCATGACTTCATAATAGAACTCATGCTGGATTTTAGGAACTGAGCGGGATCTGACCACATATTCAGATGCAGGAAGATACCGCTCAGTAAATTGTCCCGGTTCGAAGTTCCCGGTCAAACTTTTGTTAGGTTCGAATGTTCGACCGCGAACCACACAGTGGGGGTGTTTGGCTCATCACTATTCTAAATATGTATATGGAGCCAGGGGTGGACTGACCATTTGGAAACTCGGGCACTGCCCGAGGGCCTGGGGTCCAGTAGGGGGCCCTATGAGATGCCCCTGGTACCTTTTTCAAAGGATTTTTTGAGTCTGGGCAAGGACACAGGGGCCCCATGATCCCCTATTGCCCAGGGGCCCCATGAGTTGTCAGTCCGCCCCTGTATGGGGCATAAGTGTTGTTGGTTACCTTGTTATTTTTTGTCAGAGGTAATACGTTCTTGGTGGTAATTGTCCTTGTTTTGTTCTAGGTTTGAGTATTGTACTTTTCGGAGATGGTTTACTGAAGATTATCTGAGAGAGGGTTCTAATGGAAGAGAAAGAAGAGTCCGACTCTTCAGAAACTCAAATGGAGCCTCCTGATCTTTCCTTTCTGATTAATCCGGAGAGTAAAATTCAGGAACTACGGTAAGGGAAATCTGTGATTCCTGCAGTGATCAGGCAATGTGGCGTCTCATGATTGTTCCTGCCTGTGGGTGTCTCTTTTTAGCTCTGGGTGTCTTCTATCCTCATCGATTGTAGAATTTTCCATCTCCTGTCCTCTTGTGTTCTGCCCTTTAACCATTTGCCCTCCAGAGGATTTACCCCCTGTTCCTGACCAGGCCATTTTTTGCATGACGGCGCTGCGTTACTTTAACTGACAATTGCACAGTCATGCAACGCTGCACTCAAATTAAATTTACGCCCTTTTTTCCCCATGAAGAGCTTTCTTTCTGTGGTGCACAGCACAGCCATCCAGAGCAGTGTGATTACAGTGAAGCACACACCCCCACCCCCTGCTAAAACACTCCCAGCACAGTTAACCCTTTGATCGCCCTAGATGTTAACCCCTTCTTGCTCAGTGCCATTAGTATAGTGTCAGTGCTTTTTATTAGCACTGATCACTGTATTGGTGTCACTGGGGATATCATGACACCAAGTCAGTTCCCTCCCGTGTCAAAATGCCCGCCGCAGTCCCACTATAAGTCGCTGATCACCACCATTACTAGTAGAAAATAAAAAATTTACAGTATATACCGCCATTTGTAAACTTTTTTTAGCAAAGACATTACGACAAAATTTGATCTTCTACATTTTTTTATTAAGTGTTCTTGCATGGCAGACCACCTCCTGTTATCGCACATATATATTCTTATTATAGCCAAATTTACCACCCGAAGTCCTCCCACAGTTTTTACACTACATAGACAGTAATATACCGAAACATGCGGATTGTTCCCGATTTATGTGCTATCACTTTGTGAACGTTTCGCCGAATGGTTCACGAAATATCGGCATTTTTTGTGGGGAAATTGGTCCCACAGGAACGAATGGCGGAATGTTCAAAACTAGAGTAGGAGCTGACAAAAGCTAGAGTGTGAGCTGAAAAATCAGGACATGATTTCTAAACTGCCACCACTCCCTCATTTCCATGTACACAAATCTTATATCAAAACTTTCAGCTATCCCTGCTGCCACTAGAAATGTCCATGGCTAAGCCATAGTCCTGATAGTTTTCACAATATGACCATTTGTTTGCAACTCATGCCGCCCATTGACATTCATTGAAACTCCACTCTAGCCACCTCAAATTTTCAGGGCAATTTCTAAACTGCGACTGTGCCTTCATTTTTAATATTTCAGACACATACTATGCATCAAAATGTAGGTCTGGGTCTTGTGATTCTCACAATATAAAGCTCTTTGGTGTAGGATTTATAATTTTTAAACTACAACCATTTGAAGATGGCAACCGCCAGTGAAGTGAGCAAGTTGGAGCAGTTTGTTTTTAACTGCTCTTCTCTGTCCTTGTTGTAAAGTGAGTTGCCATAGGAACCCAGGTGTGTGAGCAGCCAGCAGAGTGACAAAAGCTAGAGTGTGAGTTGTAGACTACTGGTGGAGGCAAGAACACTTCACACAATTTTCCCCAGAAATTGTAGCTTTTCTAGTTGGATATGTTCTATAGCAAAAAGTCAAAAATATTGTGTTATTTTCGCAAAAAGGTCAGTCTTTTTTTGTTTATAGTTCAAAAAATAGAAACGCAGAGGTGATCAAATTCCACCGTAAGAAAGCTCTATTCGTGGGGAAAAAAAGGACGTAAATGTAATTTGGGTGCAGCGCTGCATGACTGCGCAACTGTCGGTTTAAACTAACACAGCGCCGTATTGCAAAAAATGGCCTGGTCAGGAAGGGGGGGAATCCTCTGGAGGGCGAGGAGTTAATGGCAACCTTTTACTCTACATTGCTGCTTTAGTAAAATAAAAGTTCTCTATTTGGGGATTACCATAACAACATTTTCTTCCTTTTTATTACCTTTTTTTTAATTTTTTATCATTTTGTGATGACATAACCTTCAGCTTTTTTTTTTTTTCATTTCCTTAGTTTACCATTATGTGTCTGTGTTTTTTCTCTGCAGTTTGTATCGATGTGATTTAACTTTCTCATGCTCCCATGATCTCCTTTCCATTCTGATCACTAACAAATGCCTCACCAGATTGGATTTATCATTTATTAATCTGCAAGATTCTGGAATGAAACTTCTTTGTGAGGGACTCCGAGATCTGGGCTGTACCCTGCAGGAGCTGAGGTGAGAATTACTATTAATTATATAATGTTCTGCAGGAATCTGGAATAGTCCTTCTGTGTGATTGAACTCCAAGATTTGGGCTGTACTCTGAGATATGAAGTGAAATCTATAAAAGAAATGACATTATAATCTGCTAGATTTTGGAATAACATTTTTGTGAGAAATCCAGATTTGTTACTGTAGCGTTCTCTAGTGTAGAAAGGTAGTTAGTGTAACTAGAGGCTTGCTAGAAGCCTGGGTCAGTTTCAGGTCAGTTTGGAGAGCTCTACATGTCCTCAGATACCTCCCCCCTGCTATAGAAGCTTGGAGAAGCTTCAAAAAGTCAGTAGGTAGAGCTGAGAGGAGCTTATCTGCATATTTATGGGAGTCTGACCAATCCCAGACAGGAGTCCTAGCAGTGTGGCAGACTGGCCCATAAATATGACAGTCTGTCCAGCAAGGAGGAGTCGGGTGGAAGATGGAGGATTGCAATGCTTCTGTGTAGCCTGGCAGGGGGCCCCAGAGAAGAGGGATTCTGCCTCCAGGTTGGAGGTTTGAGAAAGGGGGAAGCTGAAAGAGGGAGCTCCACTGCCCTGCAGTCCATGGGGGAAAGGACAGCCTGAAAAGCCTGGAAAGGAACCATCCCAGCTAGAAGGTATGAAAGCAGTTCTATCCACAGCTGCAGGACAAGGACAGTGTGAGTACCTCTACACCATGAGGCAGGGCTGCTGTTGGAAACCACGGGGCCCATACAGCAAACCTGACAGGGCCCCCCCCAAAAAAAAAAAGTACTGCTAGTTTATTATGCTGCAGTAATTAATAAACACAGTGATTGGTACCGATCACATCACTCATTGTGTTCATTCAGAACTGAAAGTGACTGATAAATGTGACATATTTCCCGGACACTTCCTCCACTCTCAATCCTGTAGGATCTTATTGTGTGCTTGCCGTTGCCAATGAGAAGGAGAGGAGGAGGGAAGCCGACAGCACTGCGGGGGTGGGGGGCACACAGGGGTACAGTGCACAGGGATGGTGGTGGGTGCAGTGGGAGGGGGGGCAGTTACTGGAACTAATCCGCTGTATGGCTCTCTCTGCAGCACTGGAAAGCCAGCAGGAGAGAGGAGAAGAAACCACATGCTGCCAAAAGAGCCATAAAGGGGATCGGTTCCAGTAAATGCACCCCCCCCCCTGCTGTGGCAATCACCCTCCCTGCCCATATACGATTTACCCAACTGCCTGGGCCCCCCTGCAGACCTGGTCCCTGTACATGAGGACTGATTGTACCCCCTTATCCATGGCCCTGCCAACAGGGCCTATAAGGGAGAAGTCTGCTAGATGCAAGTTCTTGGCAAGTCTTCAGGGGACAGTCTAATGCTTACCCATTCCCTTGTCCCGCGATCAGATACTGTGGCCAGGTGGGCTGATATTTTGTTCACTAAGGGGATCAAGAGCTCCTACATGTTGTAACTTTGCTGAAAATCCACTCAGGGGGCACCAAAGTCTTAGGAGGGGATTGCTTTGCTAAAGACTGTTGTGATTCTGGCTGGAACAGAGTCAAGGATCTGTCATTTTTGCAGTGTGCTAGAGAAACTGTCCTCTTTTGTTCTTCAATTAAATTGGGCATCCCATAACCCCTTTTACCCTATCCAAGTTGAATTTGCTAATTGTAAAAAACCAAGCCCATGGACTGTTTCTTTGTGTCTCGATACAAGTTGGAAATTGTGTGTTGCCTGGCTGTGCAGGAAATAAGGGGACCCAAAGCCAGGGGGTGGCGCTACATTACCTAGCTGAAATTTCAACAAAGACTTTTGCTTGGCATGTCACATTGTGTGTTTCCATCATAGCTCTTCAAGTCACTTGCATTTACTGACTTTCATCCACTCCAATATCTCCTTTGACTATTAGCATTCATACCGTATGTCTCTGTTGAGGTGGATTACCGTTTGTGTATAAAACCACACACAACCAAGTTTATCCATCTGCCATCTGCCAGACAAATGTATCTTGTATATGTAGCTTAGAATGGCAAATGTTTCCGACTAGTAGGGGTGAGGTGAAACTGCCTGGGTTTGATTCCCTGCATGTTAGGATATTCTGTTTGAAATTTGCAAGAGCTGAACTTGTGAGCCCAACTGAAGTGTACAGGTGAAACTCGAAAAATTAGAATATGGTACAAAAGTTCATTTGTTTCAGTTATGCGACTTAAAAGGTGAAAACTAATATATGAGATAGACTCATTACATGCAAAGCAAGATAGTTCAAGCCGTGATTTGTCATCATTGTGATGATTATGGCTTACAGCTCATGAAAACCCCAAATCCACAATCTCAGAAAATGAGAATATTACATGCAATCAATAAAACAAGGATTGTACATAGAACAATATCGGACCTCTGAAAAGTAGAAGCATGCATATGTACTCAGTACTTGGTTTGGGCCCCTTTTGCAGCAATTATTGCCTCAATGCGGCAGGGCATGGAAGCTATCAGCCTGTGGCACTGCTGAGGTATTATGGAAGACCAGGATGCTTCAATAGCGGCCTTCAGCTCTTCTGCATTGTTCGGTCTCATGTCTCTCATCTTTCTCTTGGCAATGCCCCATAGATTCTCTATGGGGTTCAGGTCAGGTGAGTTTGCTGGCCAATCAAGCACAGTAATCCCACGGTCATTGAACCAGGTTTTGGTGCTTTTGGCAGTGTGGGCAGGTGCCAAGTCCTGCTGGAAAATGAAGTCAGCATCCCCATAAAGCTCGTCTGCGGAAGGAAGCATGAAGTGCTCCAAAATCTCCTGGTAGACGGCTGCATTGACCCTGGACTTAATGAAGCACAGTGGACCAACACCAGCAGATGACATGGCTCCCCAAATCAACACAGACTGTGGAAACTTCACACTGGACTTCAAGCATCTTGCAGTGTGTGCCTCTCCATTCTTCCTCCATACTCGGGGTCCTTGGGCCTCTCCATTCTTCCTCCATACTCGGGGGTCCTTGGTTTCCAAATGAGATGCAAAAGTTGCTCTCATCAGAAAAGAGAACTTTGGACCACTGAGCAACAGACCAGGTCTGTTTTTCTTTAGCCCAGGTAAGATGCTTCTGACATTGTTTGTTGTTCAGGAGCGGCTTGACAAGAGGAATACAACATTTGAATCCCATGTCCAGGATCCGTCTGTGTGTGGTGGCTCTTGATGCACTGACTCGAGCCTCAGTCCACTCCTTGTGAAAGTCCCCAACACTTTTGAATGGCCTTTTCCTGACAATCCTCTCCAGGCTGCGGTCATCCCTGCTGCTTGTGCACCTTTTTCTTCCACACTTTTCCCTTCCATATAACTTTCTATTAATGTGCTTTGATACAGCACTTTGGGAACATCCAACTTCTTTTGCAATGACCTTTTGAGGCTTTCCCTCCTTATGGAGGGTGTCAATGATGGTTTTCTGCACAACTGTCAGGTGAGCAGTCTTTCCCATGATTGTGATTCCTACTGATCCAGACTGAGAGACCATTTAAAGGCTCAGGAACCTTTTGCAGGTGTTATGGCTTAATTATCTGATTAGAGTGAGACACTTTGAGCCGAAAATATTCCACCTTTTCACAATATTCTCATTTTCTGAGATTGTGGATTTGAGGTTTTCATGAGCTGTAAGCCATAATCATCACAATTATGACAAATCACGGCTTGAACTATCTTGCTTTGCATGTAATGAGTCTATCTCATATATTAGTTTCACCTTTTAAGTTGCTGCACTGAAATAAATGAACTTTTGCACGATATTCTAATTTGTTGAGTTTCACCTGTATGTGGGGGAATTCTATTAATAATTTTTTTTATTACAGGTAGTTTTAATAGTTTATGTATGCTTTTTTGTCAGGTAGTAATAGGCTTTCTTTGGTTTTTGATAATAATTGGACAAAGGTTTGCTGATGTTGTTCCTGTTCTTTCTGATACAAAATTGTCCTACCACTGGACTGATTCTATAAAATGCCAGTAGGAATTAGGAGACCACAAATGATAGATAAGTGAAAAATTTGGCAACACCAGAATAGTTTAAAGAAGAACTCCAGGAACAATAACAATTCTCCCATGCAGTGGGGCTGTGACTGCACAGCATGGATTTATTGTTTGTTTTTGTCAAGGGGATTGCAGACTGGAAATATTGTACACTTGCCTAATCCACTGATCCTTTGAGTACAAGATCAGTCTCCACTGCTCCTGCCCCCTGCAATGCATGCAGTCTTGTAAATGGACTGTTCCTGACATTATCACGCCCATAGACTTGTTCTGGACATGAGGACGACAGGAACAGTCCACTGCTGGATGTGGGGGAGCGTGGTTTTTCTGGAAGATCGAACATTTGGGTAAGTATATCCTTTTCGGTGTGCCCCCAGCCAAAACAAGCAGTTAATCCATGCGGTGTGGGCACAGCCCCACTGCATGGGGAAAAAAAAACATTTCATGGAGTTCTTCTTTAAAAAATCAAGACTAAGCTAAAATGTACTAGAGACAGAGCACACAAGCAGATGTTACTTCATGCATGAAGTGGCCACAGACGATACGGCATTGAACAATTGGTTAGAGCCAGGACATTTTTAGTAAGAAGACAAGACTGAAATGTACTTGAGACACAAGGTATAGACAGGTGTATAACTGCAGGACCTAGGAGACCACAGATAATACAGCAGTGTAAACTGGCCAGTTGCAGGAAAGATTTAATCATGGAGAGAAGGGCTAACTGGTGTATGCCTAACTTTTATTCTTACTGTAGCACTTCCCCAGCAGGAGTCGCTGGGTTTTGGGTCCACTTAAGCTATGCATGACCAAGCAGCATGCATTTTCCTTCACATCTCCACATGCACACAGTCCTTGAGCTGGGATTTAGCTGTTTTTGTTAAGGGGTTAACAACTTGGATAGGGTCTTGGGATATATGGGATGCCCAAATAACTGTTAAGGAGCACTCAAGTCCCCTTGGAGTACCTCCTCAGACTCCGGAGGAATCCTTCTCTTCACCCAGCTGTACTGAGGGTATCCATGGGCAAAGGGGCCCAAGAGCTGCCAATTAAGCAGTCCCAGATGAGTACTAGTTGGGTATTACACCTCACTGCTCTCTCCCCTTATCTGGCCCAGAAGATGTAGGAGTACTCACACTGTCCTATCCTGTTAGATTGATGGGTTAGAGCTGTTTTCAAGGCTTTCACCTGGCTGGCTTCCTTCAGCATACAGGTTGTCCTTCCTTGGGGATGGTAAGACATTGGAGGCCTGCTTGTCCAGCATCCAGCCCATAGGTAGGCTCTGCTCCTTGGGGACCCCTCCCAGGCTCCATACTCCAGCTTTCCACCCAATACTAAGCCTGCTACCTGGGCTCTGTGAAATTTAAGGGCGGTCCTGGTCACCATGCTCAGTCTCCTGCCAGCAGATTGGCCACGGTCCCTCAGACATGTAGATCTGGGTCTCCTCCCCTCTTTTACCCCTGTTCCAGAAAGTTCTCTCAGTTTCTGGAAAGGAGGGTGGGCTCCAGAAGACCTGACCTGTGGAACCTCCCTGGCTGTCTTGAGGTGAACGCTCCTGCCTCGCTCCCAGACTGAATCATCCCAGGCTGCTACCCAGCCTCTAGCTATCAAAAACAAAGCCTATCTACCTAGAGAGCACTACATGGGGAAATAAATCATATTATGTGAGGTGTTCAGGTGCACACTTCCAATGCTTAGTTTTTTTTTCTTTCATATAGTGCAGTTCCAAAAACATATGGTCAGCAACAAGTGAATGCTGTGTATCGAGCATCCCAAACATGAAAAAAGTCCCTATCAGTATACACCCTGGTTCACATTGAATGTGAACTTGAAATTGTGCTACTTGACTTGAAGTCAGGCAATTTGTACCTCTGATTTCACCACGACGGCTTGAAACTTCATTTAACAGAATTCAATGCAAGTTGCAATGAAATAGGGACAAGGAAGTAGTGAAGGAACTATTTCTGAAGTGGCACTGCTTCAAATTGCACTGATTAAGACAGTGCCAAGCAAATACATTAAATGCAACTTCACGTACAATTTGTAAATCACATGTCGTACCTGAAGTCGCATCACTGTGAACAAGGGCTAAACAAACACCCATTATATCCCAAAGAAAGATTAAAACCTTAAATTACCACCTGCCAAAACAACCCCCCCTTCTTTTTTAAAAGAAACCCTTGCAGCAAATAAGTGACTTCTGCCCATCGGCAAATAAGCGAGTGCCCCCCTCCTGAACCATACCAGGTCACATGCCCTAAACATGGGGGTGGTGCTTTGGGGCAGGGGGGTTCCCCACCAAAGCACCTTGTTCCCATGTTGATGGGGACAAGGGCCTCTTCCCCATGTTGATGGGGACAAGGGCCTCCTCCCCACAGCCATGGCCGGTGGTTGTGGAGGTCTGTGGGCAGGGGGCTTATCAGAATCTGGAAGCCCGCTTTAACAAGTGGGCCCTTATATCCCACCCATGTGCGTGTGGTACATGGTACAGCTACCCATTCACAAAAAAAGCGTAGTGTAAAAAATGACAGAAAACAGTCTTTGACAAGTCCTTTATTTGTAACAAAAATTAATAAAATGTCCCCCGAAGTAGATCCAACATCAATCATGATGTCCACCGCCAACCCCCCAAAAAACCAAACGCTTCGCTCTCAACGCTGGCTCTCACCATCTGACAGCTGCACTGGGGTGACAGTTCTTAAATACTGGTATGACGTCACATTACGTCATCATGTGTTGTGATTGGCCAAAGCATTGCACCTGACCTGTTGTCGGGTGCATTGCTTTGGCCATTCACAATGCACTGTCAGGGAACAGAGCATTGTGGGGTGTAGGGAGCCAATAACCCACTGAATGCCCTTACCATTTGTTTGTCCGCCGAACACACGAATGACCAATGTTCAACTCAAACATGAAGCCCAACCATAGTAAAGAGCAGTTTATTAGATGACCATAATCTTTCCCTATGATTTCTGTCATCCTTTTCTATCTTCTCCTACAGCATGTTCAAGTACACTGACATTATGGCTGCCTTCCTTTTATGAGGGGATTGGTTTTAACCAAAAGCAAAAACCAAATACCAAATTTCAGGTGCGACTTGCATTGACATCTGTGCATGAAGTTTGCAGATGTTTTTACAAATTGCACCTGAAGTCATTAAGTGTGAACCAGGGCTAAAACCTGGAAGGCGAATTGGTTTCTATGCAGAGCTGCATCAAATTTTGCACAATGCAGTTTTTAAAAACAACCCCCTAAACTGGCATCTTCCTTGGTTGTAAAGCAGGGGTCTCCAAACTTTCTAAGCAAAGGGCCAGTTTACTGTCCTTCAGGCTTTACGGGGGCCAGACTGTGCCCAGTGGGAGTAGAAAATGCCCCAGCACCAGTGCCCCATCATTTGGTTTTAAGGGGAGGAAAAGTGCCCCATTGTTGGTTCAGTAGGGGGAATGAAGCTCCATCATTGGTGTCAGTTGGTTGAATAGTGCCCAAGAGCCAGATAAAGGCATGCAAAGGGCCATATCTGGCCCCTGGGCCTCAGTTCGGAGACCACTGCTGTAACGGATAAAAGGATTTAGTTTCCATTTAAGAGAAGAGCAAAGTGGGTTTATCTGCTCAATGTTTAGGTTAAGGTGTTCATTATTAGGTAGATAAGTCTCCTTTAAACATGCAATGTCAACCATAAGGGTCTATTTATATATTTTGCATGAAAATGCATCTCAGGTCAAAATCCCATTATTTCCTATATAGAGAAAAAAAAATCCAAGAAGTGCTGGAACTTTGATGTGATTTCATGTAAAGTAGTGAGATGACAAAACATTCAGAAAGCTCAATGACTCTGGTCCAGCATTCCTTTGGTCTGGTGCTCCTTCAGTTGGCGCATTATTTCCTCTGTGGATGGTTCTTATCTATGTTCGGCAGTTTAGTGTGAAAGGGAAACTATATGGGCTCTTTCACAATTAACAATGTGCGCCACATAAACTGCAATGTCCCTGGAACAGTGTAAATCCAGACTAAGGGTCACAACTCCTCTACATTTCATAGGGAGGGTCCAACCAATATTCCATGAAATAATCCATTCAAATGTCCGAATATTTCATTTTCTAAGCCTCCATCCACTGATTATTCGTTGCAATGTGTCTACTTCTTCCAGTGGCTGGAAAAATATTTTAAGTCTGTTTCTTGTTTCTCCCATTAGGGTTTATGACTGCAAAGCAACATTATCGTGCTGTGATAATCTGTGCTCAGTTATCACCACAAACCGAACTTTAACCAGATTGGAGATAACATTGGATGTTGATGAGAAGATGGTAAACTCACAAGTGGATCATTGTTGTGAGGTTCTCCTGAACGTAGGCTTCACTGTGATTAGAAGGTAAGAACAGTTCTATTTGGAGTAACACACATAACAGGTGTAGCGCCCTATAGTGAACATAGTTTGTGAGAGTAGATAAGGCTTTCTATCTTGCTTACTGGGTGTGAGTTAACTTCAGGTTAGGCTGGAGGGCTCTACAGGTCAGTCCTCTGGTACCCCCCCTTCCCCTCTAGAAGTTTTTAGAAGCCAGTAGGTAGAGTCCAGGAGGAGCTGATCTGCATATTCATGGGAGTCTGAGCAATCCCAGGCAGGTGGCAGACTGGCCCATAAATATGAGAGAACCTGGCCAGCATTGAGTTGGGTGGAAATATGGAGTGCTGTGAAGTGCTTCTATAGCCTGGGAAGAGGGCCCCAGAGGAAGGGGGCTCTGCCTACAGGCTGGAGGTCAGAAGGAAGCAAGCAGAAGGAGTGCCACTGTCTTACAGTCCACCAAGGAAGGACAGCCTGTTGGCTTGGAAGTGAACCAACCCAGCAAAAAGCCTGAAAGCAGTTCATCAAAAGCTGCAGGATACAAGGGCAGTGTGAGTACCTCTACAACCCCCAGTGCCTACCAGAGAGAGGGCGGCTAGGTGCGATACTTAACCAATTCTGCGTGGGAAAGTGCTGCAAGTCTGTTTTGGAATCTCTTGCTTTGGGATACTCTTAAAAACACTGCAAGGTGGAGGGGTAGTTTCTAGTTGGGGTCTGAAGAGGTTCCTTTAGAGGGGACAAGTGCTCCTCACAGAGACTGTTACTGGTCCATGAAGAGACTGTTGGCACTCTGGAGGGAGTAGAAAAGTCCAAGATGTTTGTGAAGTTTGTCCTCAGAATTTCTGTCCTAGTCAAGTTGGGCATCCCATATACCCCTAGATCCTATCCAAGTTGTTTATCCCAAAGTAAAACAACAAAAACAAGCCCATGGACTGGTTACTGACTCTGAATGCAATTTGGAAAATGCGTGTTGCCTAGCTGTGCAGGACATAAGGGGAACTCAAAACCATTGGCTCTCAAGGGGTTAACGCTACACAAGTCTTAGAATTTCAATAATAAAATGTACACAACATTGGATGGTGATGAGATGGTGAAGTGGCACCTTGCTGACTCATGGGCTGCACTGTAATGAAAAATTCAAGGACAGGTTGACAAATATTGGAGATCTCTGTAGTTACTGTATATAGCTATGGAGAGAGATCGTTTAGATTTTGTGTGTGATTCACTGATTTCCCAGATGATGGTGAATGTGTTTGTGATCTCAAGTTTTATCATTAAAGATGAACTAATGAGGAAAATAATCTGCACCACTCTGAGTCAGGCCCTACAATCTTCTAAAAGAAAAATAACTTTACTTTCATTAACCAGTTCCACGCCGCCCTATAGCAGAAATACTGCAAAAGGACGGCAATGGTTTGCAAAATCATGTATATACACGTGATTTTGCAGTTCCGGGTAGGGGGTGCTGGTACCTGTGCCTCCATTCATGGATTCGGCTGTCAATCACCGGATCCTGGCCGATGATTACTCGCCGGCACCCGGTCATCACCGAGTATCTCCGACAGGAGAGAGACCTGTATGTAAACAACACAGATCTCTCCCCTGTCAGCTCCTGCACACTGCTTTGTATGGCTCTGCATAGCAGAGGGTGGAAAAAGTCAATTTACAGGTTTGCAGCGTCTTACAGCTGACAGAGCAAATGCAGTACATATCAACTACACGCCAAGACAGGAAATGCCAACTGCTGAACTGCTGTGACTCCACTACTGATAATGCTGTCTTGTGGAGCGCCCCTCCTTGTAGACCTAGGGACTGATAATATTGTCCTGTGGATGAGAGGGGTGACATGTGTGGACACAACGTCACTCCTCATCAGCTGGTGGAGCTCCAGAAGGGTTGCGCGAGAGGTGAGCGTGAGAGGGCTCTTAATGCTGCCAGAGCACAGCAGCGTTAAGGTCCCTGTCCTTGGGTACTTGGGTAACGTGTTAGGCAAATTAGGTGACCGCGAAGCCCTTGTGAACATGAAGCCTTAGGTGACTTCCTAATTAAACAGCCGCCTCTGCCCCTATTTCCTGCACAGACAGGCAAAACACATTTTTCCAACTTCCATTTAGTGAGTCAGTAACCAGTCCATGGGCTTGTTTTTTTGTTGTTTTTTTTTTTGGGGGGAAACAACTTGGATTCGGTTTAGGGGTATATGGGATTCCCAACTTGACTTGAAACAATAACTCTGAGGACAAGCTTCCTAAATTCTGTACAAATGAGAAGGATCCTGGACTTTCTACTCCTTCCGCAGGGGCATCAGTCTCTTGACGGATCAGTAACAGTCCCTGTGAGGAGCATTTGGTCTCCTCTTTATCTGAACCTCTTCAGACCCCATCAAGAAACTGCCCATCACCCTACCTGGCTGTCTTTGAAGAGTATCCCAGAGCAAGAGATTCTAGAAAAGACTTGTAGCACTGTCTCAGGGAGAAATGGTTGGGCATGGCTCCCCTCTAGGGCCCAGGGATGTGGAGGTACTCACACTGTCCTTGTGTCCTGTAGTTTTGGGCAAATGCTTTCAGGCCTTTTGCTGAGCTATTTTTCTTCCAAGTTAGCAAGGTGTCCTTCCTCGTTTGACTGCAGGGCAGTGGAGCTCCATCTGTGAACTTATTTCTCCCATGCTTCCAAACCTCCAGTCTTTAGGCAGAGCCCAGACTAGGCAGCAGTACACCTCAACATTGCATCTTCTACTACCTGACTCCCCGCTGACTAGGCCTCTTGAATGGGCATTGGCCATACCCACTAAGCTTCTAAAAACTTCTCCAAGCTTCTAGAACCAGGGGAAGGTAGCAAAGGCCTGACATGTAGAGACCTTCAGCCTGACCTGAAGTAAATTGACTCGCACCCAGGCTTCTAACAAGCCACTACCTACGCTACAAGCCATGTATACCAGAGGGTGCTACACACACTCCCACCCTTTTCCAGGAAGACATAAAATAGATACTATTAGTGTGTATAAAAAATTATCATCATTTCTTACAGATCACAGTATGAGCTCTCCCTTTTTTTCCATCCATCACAGGAACATTTTTATCATCTAATACTTTCATTTTCTTCTTCTGTGAAGGGATGGAGGATGCCAGATTGTAATTGAATACAACAGAAGATTATAGGAAATTGTCTTTGTGAAGCCTTTTCCTTCTCTGCAGGTATTACACAGATCTGGATATGAAGAGAATGTCCAGAATAGAATCATATTAGATTAACTTGTTCATGAAACTGATTTACTCATCATTTTTCATCATTTTCCTTTTTTACACATTCAGATGATGAGTGATTCTACTGACTGATATCTACTGATCGTTATTCTGGAATGATCTGAGTGGTGAATTTTTTCATCCCTCCAATTCCTCCATTTTATATTGTATTGTTACTCCTTAATGTAGCCTATACTACAAAAAAATTGTAATCTTCAAACCAAAATTGCCATCATAGATGAGACCAGCACACTGGATAATTCCTGTTAATGACATGAAGGTTTATCCTATACAAGTAGGGGAGTGATATCCATCCTTCATCCCAATTATGCTCTGTGCATGGATGAGGACAATGGGGGTTATCTCTATCCTTCATCCCAATTCTCCTATGTGGATCGTGATGAGGACAGTGGGGGGCGATCTCCATCCTTCATCCGAATTCTCCTCTGTAGACGGATGAAGAAAGTGGGAGGTGATCTCCACCCTTCATCCCAATTATCCTCTGTGGATGGATGAGGACAGAAGGGGGCGGTCTCTACCCTTCATCCCAATTATCCTCTATGAATGGATGAAGACAGTAGAGGATGAACTCCATCCTTCAGCTGAATTCTCTTCTGTGGACAAATGAGGAAAGTGGGGGGCGATCTCCATCCTTCATCCGAATTCTCCTCTGTGGATGAATGAGGAAAGTGGGGGGCGATCGCCATCCTTCATCCAAATTCTCCTCTGTAGATGGATGAGGAAAGTGGGAGGTGATCTCCATCCTTCATCCCAATTATCCTCTGTGGATGGATGAGGACAGAAGGGGGCAATCTCCATCCTTCATCCCAATTGTCCTCTGTAGACGGATGAGGACAGTGGGGGGGCGATCGCCGTCCTTCATCCCAATTCTCCTATGTGGATGGATAAGGAACAGTGAGGATTCCTTCAGGGGAGTTAGGATCAAAGGCTTCCCTGTTCAACTTGCCAGCCAGCTAACCAACAACAGTGGTCAGCAGCCCTAGTCTAAACATGGCTTATTTCAGCAAGGAACATGGATAGGTATCACTTCTCAAAAACGAGGATAAGAAAGCCAGTTAAATTTGCCAGCCAGCTAGCTAAGAACCAAATGATCCTGTCTAACAATATGCGTTTAAAAACAGGGTTTAGTTAGCACACATTTACAAATACATATGTAAGCCACAGAGCCACATCACGGCACCCGACATTCTGTGGTCCTAACTCTACAAATTTTTGGAGTACTCATAGTAGAGGCACATGCATTTAATCTTTTTTTTTAAGTCTGTGGGTGCGCTGGATACCTTGGCTGCCATTGTGCTAAATGCTGGGTGCCATGTGCGCTCCTGTACCTTTAAGGAGGGGTGGGCTTGGCCTCCCTCAGGTCCACCTGCCCTTGGTCTATCCATTAAATGCATGTGCCTCTACTATGAGGACTCCCAAAATTTGTAGAGTTAGGACCACAGAATGTTGGGGATGACGTGGCTCTGTGGCTTACGTACGTATTTGTAAATGTGTGCTAAACTAAAACCCCTGCTTTTAAATGCATATTGTTAGACAGGATAATTTGGTTGTTGGCTAGCTGGCTGGCAAATTGAACTGGCTTTCTTATCCCCGTTTTTTGATAAGTGATACCTATCCATGTTCCTTGCTGAAATAAGCCATTTTTAGACTGGGGCTGCTGACCACTGTTGTTGGTTAGCTGGCTGACAAGTTGAACAGGGTAGCCTTATTTATAATTTTCATGTGATGACTGTCCATGTTCACTGCTGAA